GACACACCTTAGACATAAAGACAAAAACAGACTAAAAGTCAAAGGATGGAAAAAGATACATCAAGCAAATGGCAACCAAAAAAGGGCAGGAATGGCAATATTAATTTCTAATAAAAGAGACTTTAAGACAAAAATGACCATAAAAGACAAGGAAGGACATTACATAAGGGTGAAAGGATCAATTGAACAAGAGGACATAACCATAATAAATATCAACACACCCAGTGAAAGAACCACAAAATACATAAATTTAACAGAATTGAAAAGACAAACAGATAACTCCATGGTAATAGGAGACTTTAATAAACAACTTTCAATTAAGCAGGAGACTTTAGTACACCACTTTCAACTGAAAAGAAACTCAATAAAGATGCAGAAGAACTAAACAATACTATCAATCAACTTGACCTTTTAGCCATCTACAGAGCATTTCACCTAACAACAGTACTATAAACATTCTTTTCCAGTACACATGGAACAATCTTCAAGATAGACCATATTTTAGGCCACAAAGCAAGCCTCAATAAATTGAACACAAAAGACCCATACAAAGAAAACTACAAAACACTAGTTCAAGAAACTACATAAATGGAAGAACATACCATGCTCATGGATAGGAAGATTGAACATTGTGGGAACATCAGTAATACCCAAAGCAATCTAAATATTCAATGCAATACTGATCCAGATTCCATCACCATTCTTCAAAGACATGGAAAAGCCAATCACTAATTTTATATGGAAAGGAATTAGACCTTGGATAAGCAAAGCAATACTGAACAAGAGGAACAAAATAGGAGGTCTCACACTCCCAGATCTCAAAACCTACTTTACAGACACAGTTGTCAAAACAACCTGGTACTGGTACAACAATAGACACATAGACCAGTGGAACAGAATTGAGAATACAGAAATGGACCCATTGACCGACTGTGGTGTAGTAAATTACCTGGTATGACTTTTCTAGCCATAAGTCTTTGTAAACTCCAAGGTGGAATTTGCTGTGAGCAATCGAGGAGCTCCTGATTGTTAAAGTTATCCACCTGGGGTATTTTTGTTGCGAGTGGCACAAAACAATGTTCTGGGAAGTTCACTCCCTCAGGTGCTTAGAATTCTGATGTTATGATTGGTTAGTTTGGTCACTCTGCCAGGCTCAAAAGGAGGCCTCCTAGAGGCAGAAGGAGTGTCTCTCTGACTGCTGGCTGAGAAAGACATGCTGCTGAGAGAATACACTCCTGAGAGACACACATTGCTGAGAGAGAGAGACGCAAGAGGCACACATTGCTGAGAGAGATACCAAGAGACACGCACTGCTGGCAGAGAGACTGAGAGAGACTGTTGGCTGAGAGAAAGTGGGCTGAGAGAGACTGAGCATTGTTCCTGAACTTGAATTGTAGCCTGCTGCTTCCCTAATAAACCCCATAATCTGTGAGTTCCGTGTGGCTACCGCAGTGAATTATCGAACCCAGCAGAGAAGTGGTGGGTGCTGTGGGAGGAATGGTTAGTGTCAGGGTTGGTGAAAGGACTGGAAGGAAGTAGCTTGTCTGGCCTCACAGTAATAGGCCTTGGGCTATTGATGATGATTCTGTCTTCCTCTTGGGGGGATAGTGGAGGTCAGAAGATGTAGCTTCCCTGCCCCTTTGGCACCTATGGTCAGCTGATCTTTCACAAAGGGCCAAAATCTATTAAATGGGGGAAGAGATAGTCTCTTTCACAAATAATGCTGGAAAACCTGGGTATCTATTTCAGAATAAAGATACAGGATCCATATCTTACACCATACACAAAAACTAACTCCAGATGGATCAAAGACTTAAATGTCAAACCTAAAACTTAGGAAGTTCATCAAAGAAAAAGTAGGAGAAAACAAAGGGGCTCTATTTATGACATAAATAGTGTACCAGGCACAACTCAAGATGCACAAACAACAGAAGATAAGCTAGATGATCTTGTTGTTATTAGGTCAAGTTGGCTCCAACTCATAGTGACCCTATGTACAACAGAGCGAAACACTCCCCAGTCCTGTGTTAGCCTCACAATCTTGCTATACCTGAGCCTACTGCTGCAGCCACTGTGTCAATCCACTTCTTTGAGGGCCTTCCCCTTTCTCCTTGACCCTCTATTTTACCAAGTGTGATATCCTTCTCCAGGGAATGGTTCCTTTTGACAACATGACCAAAGCAGGTGAGATGAAGTTTGGCCATTTCTGCTTCCAAGGACTATTCTAGCTGTACTTCTTCCAGGACAGATTTGTTAGTTCTTTTGACAGTCCATGGTACTTTCAGTATTCTTTGCCAACACCACAACTCAAAAGCATCAACTCTTCTTTGGTCTTCCTTATTTATTGTTCCGTTCTCATATGCATATGAGGTGACTGAAAATACCACAGCTTGGGTTAGGTGCATCTTAGTCTTAGTAAGCCAGCCCCGGGACCAATGGAATGCAGGTGTTTGCCCCAGGGGCAGGCCTGGTAAGTAAGCAGAGTTGGGGAGACCAGGAAACGAGCAGAGCAGTATAGAATAACTAGGGGAGACAAATTGTCTGTCAGTTTGTCCTAGTATGGTGGCATAAGTGTTGCTGTGAGGCTGGAGGCTATGCTATCAGTGTTTCAAATGCCAGCAGGGTTACCCAAGGTGGACAGGTTTCAGCAGAGCCTCTAGACCAAGACAGACTTAGAAGAAGGAAGAAGCAATCCACTTCTCAAAGAATTGGCCAGTGAAAACCTTATGAATAGTAGTGAAACACTGTCTGATATATTACTGGAAAATTTTATGAATAGCCCTGAAACACTGTCCGATATAGTGCCACGAGATGAGCCCCTCAGGTTGGAAGGCACTCAAAATATGACTGGAGAAGAGCTGCCTCCTCAGAGGAGAGCCGACCTTAATGATGTGGATGGAGTACAGCTTTCAGGACCTCCACTTGCTGATATGGCATGACTCAAGATGAGAAGAAACAGCTGCAAACATCCAATAATAATCAGAACATGGAATGTACGAAGTATGAATCTAGGAAAATTGGAAGTTGTCAAAGATGAAATGGAACATATAAAGATTGATATCCGAGGCATTTGTGAGTTGAAATGGAATGTTTTTGGCCATTTTGAATCAGACAACCATTTGATCTACTATGCCAGGAACGACAAAAATTGAAGAGGAATGACATTCATCGTCACAAAGAATGTTTCAAGATCTACCCTGAAGTACAGTGCTGTCAGTGAGAGGATAATATTCATACGCCTACGACAAAGACCAGTTAATACTACTATTATTCAAATTTATGCACCAACCACCAAAGCCAAAGAAGAGAAAACTGAATATTTTTATCAACTTCTGCAGTCTGAAATTGACCAAACATGCAATCAAGATGTGTTGATTATCACTGGTGATCGGAATGCAAAAGTTGGAAACAAAGAAGAACACTGGTAGTTGGAAAATACAGCCTTGGTGATAAAAAAATAGATGATTAGCACCTTGTAAAAATTAAATTCTTATATGCATCAAAAGACTTCTCAAAAAGAGTAAAAAGGGAACCTATAAAATGGGGAAAAATATTCAGCAATGACGTATCAGACAAAAGACTTGTCTCTAAAATTTATAGAAAACTCCAACACATCATTATCAAAAAAACAAACAATCCAATTTAAAAATGAGTAGAAGATATGAACAGACAATTCACCAAAGACATTCAGGCAGTTAACAAACACATGAAGAAATGTCCATGATCATTATTCATTAGAGAGATGCAAATCAAAACAACCACGAGGATATCATCTCATCTAAGCATTAATAGCAAAGTTCAACAAGACAGAAAACAACAAATGCTTGCGAGGATATGCAGAGATTGGGACTCTCAGACACAGCTGGTGGTACTGTCAAATGATACAACCACTATGGAAAGAAGTATGACGATTCCTTAAAAAGCTGGAAACAGAAATACCATATGATACAGCAATCCCATTACTAGGTATATATCCTAAAGATGTTAGAGGGAGGACACAAATAGATATATGCATACCTATGTTCATCGCAGCACTATTCACAATAGCAAAGAGATGTAAACAACCTAAGTGCCTATCTACTGAGGAATGGATAAACAAACTGTGATGCATACACACAATGGAAAATTACGTAACTCTAAAGAATAATGTAGAATTTGTAACACACTGTATAATGTGGGTGAACTTAGAGGACATTATGGTGAGTGAAATAACTCTATCACAGAGGGACAAATATTGTATTAGTCCATTATTGTAAAAAGGTAAGGAAAGGTTTATACATGGAAGGAAACTTTCTTGGTTGGTTACCAGGGATGGGATGGGAGGGGAGGGAAGGGAAAATTCCTAGATAGGTTAGAAAAAAAAAAAATATATATATAGAAACCAAAGACTATTAGTGGTTACCAGGGGTAGGAGGGAGGGGGAAAGGTGAAGCTTTTGTTTGTGGGGCATTGAATTTATGCTAATGGTGGTGGAATATTTGGAAAAGGATAGCAACAGTGGTGGCACAACATGAAAAATGCCATCAACATCCCTGAGCTATAAATGTGGAAGCTGTCATGTTGGCGAATGTCTTGTTGTATATGTTTTGAGCACAACAGAAGTTTTTTAAAAAAGGAAAAAACAATTACTTCTGAGATGTTGTTGTTATGTGCCATTGAGTGGGATCCGACTCATAGCAACCCCTCCTTGGGTTTCTGAGGTGGTATCACTACGGAAGTGGATTGCCCAACCTTCCTTCCGAGGAGTGGCTGGTGAGTTTGAACTGCCAGCCTTCTGGTTAGCAGTCAAGTGCCTCAGACACTACACTACCAGGGCTCACTTCTGAGATAGACACTATAAATGTTTTAATGACACTTGAGTCACAAGAAATGTAAATGCATGACACAAAGAATGATGTCAATTAAAATGGAGAAAAGAGGTTGTGAATAGTCTTCTCAAACCTAATGTTTGGTTTCTTTCACTTAACAAAACAAAACAAACCCCAAAATAAACAACTCACGTTCTATTTGCTCAAACATGACTGAAAAGAGAAAGTCTCTTGGTGTCATATAATATTCTCCTTCATGTTCCAATGAAGAAAACTGCATGAAGCGCTGTTTCCGAGGAGACAGTTGCCCAGCCATCTCTTCAGAGTCAACATTTTTCTAAAAGAAAGGAAAAAAAAATTCCAATTTAAGATTTTTTTAAAGTATTATTCCTAAAGTTAGTAATGTTTACAATAATTTTTAAAGAGTAATTTTATTGTTTCGGTCAACACAGTCCTAAATTTTAATTCATTCATTTAACAAATATATACTGAATGACTGCTATGCACTGTCTCAGGCACTGAAGATGGAGCAGTGAACAAGACTCCTTTGAGAGAACTTACATTATAGAAAGACAGAATGACAAGTGATGAAGAAATGCATCAAATGATGTAAGACAGTGAGCAGTGGCATGAAGGAATTGGAAGCAGGATAAGAAAATGATAAGGAGCACAATTTTAGAGAGGATACTCAGGGAGAGCCTTTGGGAAGTGGTGATATTTAAAGACACAAAATAAGGTAGAGGGAGCTCTGGTGGTGTAGTGGTTAAAGCATTTGGCTGTTAACCAGAAAGCTGGCAGTTTGAACCCACCAGCTGCTCCATGGAAGAAACATGAGGCAGTCTGCTTCTGTAAAGACTGAGAGCCTTGGAAACTCTGTGGCGCAGTTCTACTCTGTTCTCTAGGGGCGTTGTGAGTCAGAATTGATTCTATGGCAGTAAAGGTATAAATTAAGTGGAGCTAGGAGGAGCTCTGGTGGCGTAGTGCTTAAGGCATTTGACTGCTAACCAGAAGTCTGGCAGTTCAAACCCACCAGCTGCTCCATGGAAGGAAGAGGGGGCAGTCTGCTTCTGTAAAGATTACCACCTTGGAAACCCAATGGGGGTTGCTATGAGTTGGAATCGACTCGAAGGCAGTGATTTATTTATTTATTTTTTGAGTGAACCATGGGGCTGTCTGGGAGAAGAGTATTCTAAGAAAAAGATAAAGCAAGAGCAAACACCATGAGTTGGGAATAAGTTTGGTGTGTTCAAGGAATAGCAGGAATGCCAAAGTTACCAGAGTGACTGAGTAAGGAAGAGAGTGGAAGAAGCTATGATCAGAGAGATAGGCAGGCAACGAATCACATAAAGTTGCGTTTTTATAAAGATAAAAGACACCGTATTTACAACTCTGTTCACTTTCAGAACTCCAAGTGATAAAATAAAAAAATAAGTGCTAGAAGAACAGGGATGGACAAAATACGGTTAGTGTTAAGAATTGTTAACTCAGGCAATAGGGCCTGATTGCAATCCAGCTGCTGATAGAGACAACACTGAAATCTTCCTGGCAAAGCCTTCATTGAGCACTTACTATGTGCTAGGCACTGTCCTAATTAAGTACTTAACATAGATTATTTAGTTAATTCTCAGAATGATTCTGAAGAACGCATACTGATGTAGCTATGGAAACTGGAAAGTAAATGGCAGAGCCAGGATTCAAAACAAGGTCTTGTCTGACTCAAAGCTGTCTGACTCTTAATACCACACTATCCTCCTACACATGACTGGGCACCGTGGACTAGGTCAACTGGAGAAAGATGATGCAGCAGGTCACACTGAGGTCAATACAGGAATCTTAGTATCTGTGAAATCCAACCGCACACTGCGACCTGACTGCTTTCCTAAGATGCTGCTCTACCATGGACCACAGCATTCTTCCTGGACATACTACTACTCTTCACACATAGGACTGCTTCTATTATTTACCTTGACACATGGGTGATGCTCAGTGAGTGCCAACTTCAACTGAAATGGGAAAAAAAGTGCATTCAAGTTGCTTAAACCTCTCGAAGTTCAAAGCTGTCAGCAGCTCCCCTGGGCTGATCTTAGTCCTCTGTGTAGTATGAAATTTTCTCTCCTCTATTAGACTGTAGGTTTCCTTGAGTGATCAGCTGTGTACTTGTGCATTCTGTACGTGCCTACCAGAATTTGGGACATACACAGAATACTCAATCACACTGCAGCGATCTGTGCTCCCATCTTCCCTGCAATGTATCAATCATGTCCTTGCTTTTCCTTCTCCTTAAATCACTACTCTAAAATTAACTGAAGGGGCAGGTTTCAAGATGAGTCCATGCTTTTATCCCAGCAATAAGAAAACTGAATTTTATTGATAGTTTGTGAACTTTTATACATGAAGCAGATAAAATATATATACATATATGTGTGTATGTGAGTCTGTATATAACAAATCATTGTCAAATGAGTTGATTCCAACAGAGCAACCTTGTAGGACAGATGAGAACTGCCCCACAGGGTTTCCAAGGCTGTAAATCTTTAGGAAAGCAAAACCCAAACCAAACCTGTTGCTGGAGGGTCGATGCCAACCCACAGTGCCCCTAGAGAACAGAGTAGGACTGCCCCATAGGGTTTCCAAGGCTGTTAGTCTTTATAAAAGCAGACTGTCTCATCTTTCTTACTGGAATGGCTGATGAGGATGAACTGGCAACCTTTGGGCTAGCAGCCGAGAGCTTAACCACTATGTCATCATATACTGTATTCTTGCATAAAAGACACCTTACAGAAATAACATGCAAACACACATAGGTGACTAACATGCAAGTGTTTTTTTTTTTTTTTTTGGGGGGGGGAACCACTATATAACATGTGTGCTATTTGCATAAAGCACAGTATATGAATATATATCCACATAGGTCCCATGTTGTTGTTTGTTGTTATGTGCCGTCGAATAGGACACGACTCATAGCAAGCCCTTCCTGGGTTTCCGAGGCGGTATCACTACGAAAGTAGATTGCCCAACCTTCCTTCCGAGGAGTGGGTGGGGGGTTTAAACCACCAGCCTTCTGGTTAGCAGTCAAGTGCCTTAGGCATTACACTACCAGGGCTCCCACATAGAGCCCTAGGTGGCACAAACGGTTTGTGCTCCACTACTAACTACTAACTAAAGGTTGGGAGTTCAAACCCACCCCAAAACCAAAAAAAACCAAACTCACTGTCCACCCCAATGGGTGAAAAAGTGGAAGAAATGGCCTGGTAATCTCATTCTGTAAAGACGACAGCCAAGAAAATGCAACGGAACAGTTTTACTCTGTAACACTTGAGGTTGCCATGAGCTGGAACTGACTCTACACCAATGAGTTTTTGTATATATTTTTGTTCACACACATACTTGTAGTAAACTATCAATACCTATATGTAGTAACAGACAGATTATCATTTTATTGAACAAATTCTTACTGAATACCTGTTGGAAAACAAGACAAACGTTAATGCCCACCAGAATGCAATAAGTACTATGGCAGTGAATTCACAGAAAGTATGAGGATGAAGGTGGGAGAAGGTAAGAGTGTTGAGTAAAGATCACAGCAGCATTTGCCAAGTTCCAGCTGTGAAAGAAAATACAGCACAGTAGAAGAACTGAAAGAAACAGAACATGGGCATATACATTATTAACTTACAGACTTTTAATATTGATGTATTTACCCTGTTAATAGTGTATTAAATTAGAATTAATAATTTATACAGAGATAGATTTTCATCCTTAAAACAAATGTTGGCTCTTGTATACTTCCTAATACTCAGTTGTTCATGACTGGCTAAAAAAAATAAAATGCCTTTTATTGACAACTTAATCCTTTTTGTATGAATAAAGAAATTCTTCTCAAACTTCAGTTAAAAAAAAGGTGTTGAATTACCTCTACTGGTCTCATAACAAGATGGACCATTTAATTAACTCCATGGTTTCCTGGTTTTCCCTTTGTTCTCTATCCTCTAGGAATCTCACTCTTTCCTGGTCCTAATTTATACTGGAAATGACCAAGAAATAAAAACAAACCTCCATGTCAGAAAGACATGAAAACTATTTTCAGAGAAATATATATTTTTCTTCTAGAAGGTTTAGACACCAAAACTGCCTGTGATGTGTCTGTAACTCACATAAGGATAACATTTCTAAAGAGTCTGGAGAAGAGTCAATTATTTAGTAAAATGTCATTTTATGACGTTGGCTCGTTGCTTGATTGGGTTGTTTGTCATATCTTTATATGTTGGGTAAATATCTTCTCCAGTAGACAGGAAAAGGCAGAGCATTTACTCTACTTGGTTATTTCCTCTTATTCACCCTTCTATGAAACTCATAGTTATGCCAAAATTGTCACTTCTCAATATAAAGTAATTTAAACAAACACTACACACACACACACACACACACACAAAGAGGAGGTAAAACAAAAGCCCCCCTTCTTAAATTGATCTCTGAGCCTGAAGCTGTCATAAGAAATTACAGATCATCCATTTAGAAGGCTTGTTGTTGTTGTTGTTATGTGCTGTCGAGTCGGCCCCGACTCATAGCGACCCCTCCTTGGGTTTTCGAGGCAGTATCACTACGGAAGTAGGATTGCCCAACCTTCCTTCCGAGGAGTGGCTGGTGGGTTTGAACCGCCAGCCTTCTGGTTAGCAGTCAAGTGCTTTAGCCACTATGCTACCAGAGCTCCTATTTAGAAGGCTACTGACACACAAATGACCTCCAAATCTGTCCCGTCACTACAACACCATTATTAGACAGTATGGCACAAATCAACTCTTCTGCCAACAACCCCAATTCAACCTGTTTTGGTGGCTTTTAATTCCTGCTGCTTCATGGTATTCATTAGCAACCTGTGATATGCAGATGATACAACCTTGCTCACTGAAAATGAGCATGACCTGAAGCACTTAAGATGAAGATCAAAGACTATAGTCTTTGAGCATGGATTATACTTCAACATAAAGAAAACAAAAATCCTCACAATTGGACCAATAAGCAGCATCATGATAAATGGAGAAAAGATTGAAATTAGCAAGGATTCATTTTATTTTGGATCCACAATCAACACCCACTGAAGCAGCAGTCAAGAAATAAGATGTCACACTGCACTGGGAACATCTGCTGCAAAAGATTTCTTTAAAGTGTTAAGTAGCAAAGATGTCACTTGAAGACTAAAGTGCACCTAACCCAACCCATGGTATTTTCAAATCCCTTATATACATGTGAAAGAAGAGTTGATGCCTTTGAATTACGACATTGGCAAAAAATAGTGAAAGTACCATGGACTGCCAGAACAATGAATAAATCTGTCCT